TAACAATACTTTTCCTAAGACCCCTTGCTTCTTATTCCTTGGCAAAAGCCTTTCTTCAGGGTTTTGCTCTCATAACCACCCAGTATATCCACCTGTGAATCTGTGGGATCTCAACTGGGTTCTGTCAGTTTTTCCAATACCACATTTGATCCTAACTGAGACATTTTTCTGTCATGACTCACCCATAAGGCTGCCTTCCTTTTTGCTAGCACCTCTTTGAGGTGTGTTTTTTAGTTGGTGACCCTTTCTTGTGAAAGCCCTTTTCTAATTCTACACTCCATTGTTTGAATGAGGTATGAGCTGTCCAAGTTTATCTTTCTGTCATGTTTTTCTTTAGGTTGACTGACTCTGTCTTCATCATTCCTGAGGGTCCCTGTAAGGGACTGTCTGCCTCTTTTTACACTATTGCTTGGTGGTTTAGGCAGCTCATCAGGCATGGTTCCACCTTGCTACCCTTTTTCAGGCCATAGTCCACTAGATTGGTAAGTGCCTCTTTCAGCATCAGGCATCTATTTCTGAACCAGACCCCATGTGTCTACTGAAAAAAATAAAAATGTAATTACTGACGGAGCAAATTCCATCTCAATTGTGTGGAAAATGCATCCCGACCGCGCTGACAAGATGAAACAGCGTTTTTTTGGGATGCTTCCCTTGCTTGTTTGCTATACTCGCCTCAGGGAAAAAAGGGAGTCGCACTCTCAAGATGACTATATGCTCTCATGTTCAATTTTTCTTTGTTTTTTTCTTTTCTTTTTTGTGGTTCCCTCTTTTTTTTATTGACTGTGTCTCAATTGCTGTAACCGTGCCACTAGGAGAATATTCACGGGGCTCTCCTGCACTACTGGGCCGGAACGGATACTCTCTGCTCCACCATCCACTATTCCTGGAAAGGACTAAACATCGTAGGTGGTGCCGTAGCTCTGGGACTGTGGCACACACCATCTCCTCCTTACAAGATATGACATCACTGTCAATTCCTCCAAATCATCAATTCATATGAGACCCCCCTTGAAGCTGGTATCCTGGAACGTCAAGGGGCTTAAGTCTCCCAACAAGCACAACAGAGTGCTGAGACATCTTAAGAAACTGAAAAGCGACATAGCACTCCTTCAAGAGACGCACCTTTCTTCAAGTGACTTCTTCTGCATGCGGAGGTACTGGGTCGGGACAGTCCTGGGAGCCCCAGCAGCCGGCCTCTCAGCAGGTACTTTGTTACTGATTAACAGATCTCTCCCCCTGCACCATGCTATATCACAAAGCTGATCCAACTGAGGGTCGTTGGTCATGCACCACACTCCAACTCAGCTAATACCGACAATCATCCATTTCCTGATTACTTTACAGACTCTACTCCAACAACCCACCACCGCCCATTACACAGTGATGGGAGGCGGATTCAACGCAGTTCCCTCAAGTTTTGAAGATCGCACTGTTGCATCACATACCGCAAGCTCAGCACCCTACCCTAGAGATGTTCGCCTAGCTGACTTCATCCACAATAGTAGTCTGGAGGATGCATGCACCCGCTAGACCGTGATTTCACCCATTTCTCTCATGCTCACAATGTTTTGTCCTGCATAGACCTTTTCCTTCTCTCACCGAAACTACGCACGAGAATCTCATCCATAACCATTGAAGATATGGTCATATCTGATCACTCCCCTGTCTCTATGGCCCTGATTAATCTGGACATCCCTACCACGCCCTCGAATTGGCGGTTCCCCTCATACTTGCTTCATGATGACACCTTCCGAGACAACCTGGGACTCTGGTGGCTGGAATATGCCTCTTGTAATTCCAACCATAGGGATAATCCAATCCTATACTGGGAGGTGGCTAAGGCTGTTTTGCGTGGTAGAATCCTGGCATACTCATCCTCCCGCAAAAAGTTAACCATGCACCAATACAAATCCAACTGTCAACTGGCTAGGCGGGCGTATTCTGCATTTAAATTAGATCCATCCCCTGATAACAGATCTGCGTGGCTATTGGCTAAACAAACGTGCGACCACTGGATCCAACAGTATGAATCCCTTATTAGATCAAGTAAGGAAGTGGAGTTGTTCAAATTTGGCAATAAGCCTGGTAAGCTCCTGGCCAACCTTGCTCGGGGCCGGAACACATCCTCTCATATCACAAAACTGGCTGACAGCGAGGGTAATATCCATACTAACCCCCACACTATTTCAAACTTATTTTCCTCCTATTACCAGACCCTATATGGGTCCCAGCCGGACAATCCAGTTGGTGGTACGTCGTACCTTCAATCTATGGAACTACACTCGCTGACAGAGGAGGACCTCCTTCTCTTAAATGCGGAGGTGACCCTTCCAGAACTACAACGGGTAATTAGGTCCTCCCCCCGAGCAAAGGCACCAGGACCAGATGGGCCCTCATCTGAATTTTACAAATTACTTACGGAGGATATCTCACCTACTCTCATTGCTCTTTACAATCATATCCTGCATAACCACCAATACCCCCCTACGTTTGACAATGCGTATATCAGGTTACTGCCGAAAGCCAACAAAGATCCCCTTATGCCATTATCCTACCACCCTATATCGCTCTTGAACCAAGATGCAAAATTTCTATCAAAAATTATGGCCAACAGACTAGCGACCATTTTGCCTAAAATTATTTCACCTGCTCAATCGGGTTTTGTTTCTGGTAGATCTGCTGTTGTAAATATTCATAAAACTATAGCTGCCATGGAACATGCTCGACTGTCTGGCTCTTCTTAGCGTACACTAGCCCGTTTGGCATTGGACGCTGAGAAAGCCTTCGACAGTGTGAACTGGTCATGGCTCAGAAAGGTTATGCAACATATGGGGGTGATTTACTAACCTAAACACACACACACACCAGGTGTGTGTGATTTTCACACAGCAAAACGTATTTATCAACCAAAAAGTCTCTAAAAGCATATTTCCACTAATGCCATATATGTAAAAATCATGCATGGACTCTGGTGGCTGGAATATGCCTCTTGTAATTCCAACCATAGGGATAATCCAATCCTATACTGGGAGGTGGCTAAGGCTGTTTTGCGTGGTAGAATCCTGGCATACTCATCCTCCCGCAAAAAGTTAACCATGCACCAATACAAATCCAACTGTCAACTGGCTAGGCGGGCGTATTCTGCATTTAAATTAGATCCATCCCCTGATAACAGATCTGCGTGGCTATTGGCTAAACAAACGTGCGACCACTGGATCCAACAGTATGAATCCCTTATTAGATCAAGTAAGGAAGTGGAGTTGTTCAAATTTGGCAATAAGCCTGGTAAGCTCCTGGCCAACCTTGCTCGGGGCCGGAACACATCCTCTCATATCACAAAACTGGCTGACAGCGAGGGTAATATCCATACTAACCCCCACACTATTTCAAACTTATTTTCCTCCTATTACCAGACCCTATATGGGTCCCAGCCGGACAATCCAGTTGGTGGTACGTCGTACCTTCAATCTATGGAACTACACTCGCTGACAGAGGAGGACCTCCTTCTCTTAAATGCGGAGGTGACCCTTCCAGAACTACAACGGGTAATTAGGTCCTCCCCCCGAGCAAAGGCACCAGGACCAGATGGGCCCTCATCTGAATTTTACAAATTACTTACGGAGGATATCTCACCTACTCTCATTGCTCTTTACAATCATATCCTGCATAACCACCAATACCCCCCTACGTTTGACAATGCGTATATCAGGTTACTGCCGAAAGCCAACAAAGATCCCCTTATGCCATTATCCTACCACCCTATATCGCTCTTGAACCAAGATGCAAAATTTCTATCAAAAATTATGGCCAACAGACTAGCGACCATTTTGCCTAAAATTATTTCACCTGCTCAATCGGGTTTTGTTTCTGGTAGATCTGCTGTTGTAAATATTCATAAAACTATAGCTGCCATGGAACATGCTCGACTGTCTGGCTCTTCTTAGCGTACACTAGCCCGTTTGGCATTGGACGCTGAGAAAGCCTTCGACAGTGTGAACTGGTCATGGCTCAGAAAGGTTATGCAACATATGGGGGTGATTTACTAACCTAAACACACACACACACCAGGTGTGTGTTATTTTCACACAGCAAAACGTATTTATCAACCAAAAAGTCTCTAAAAGCATATTTCCACTAATGCCATATATGTAAAAATCATGCACATGATGCATATATAATGCTGCTTCACAGTTTAGACAAAAATGGTTAGCTCATGCTTTTACATTCCTGCATTCATCAACGCAAGCAACACAACATAGAGCTAATTTACCCAACATCACCTTGGAATTCCTTCAGGGCTTTGCACAACACACCTGCTGGGTGTGTACACATTACAAAGGTGTTTAGATTCCACCTATAGATCATGCTGGGAGGGAACACACTGCAGAGGTGTATACACGTTTGTGGTGTGTTTATAAGGTTAGTAAATCAACCCCATGGGATTTAATGGAATGTTTTTTGACTTTGTCTCCACTCTCTACACCTCCCCGAACGCACAAATATTCACCTCCACATTTCTATCCGCCCCCTTTCAACTCTATAGAGGCACACGCCAGGGATGTCCCCTATCCCCTCTTCTTTTCAATTTGGCCATAGAACCCTTAGCATGAAACGTGTCATCTTCCGATCTATTCACAGGCATAAAAATAGGACCCCACCATATCCAATCGATGCTATTTGCCGACGACATACTCCTCTTTCTTTCTGACCCTGACACCCAAATCTCACTTATTCTCAACCATATAAAACACTTTGGCACCTTTTCGTGCCTTAGCATTAATATCGACAAAAGTGAATTGCTATACCTTTCCCACACCCAGCACACAAAAGATCCGCCATGGTTATCTAGCTACCCTATTCGCATACAATCCAAATCCATTCGTTATTTAGGAATCCATATACCCAAAACAGCAACGGAAATGTATACCTTGAATTATTGCCCCATTATAAAACGTATTGTACAAGAACTTAACACCTGGCAACATCTCCCTCTTTCAGCATTAGGAAGATGTCACCTGATCAGAATGGTCAGCTTTGCACGTCTCCTCTACCCTCTTCAAACTATCCCCTTCCTCCTTAGACACAAGGACATACAACTCATCAATCAATCCTTCACCAAATGTATATGGAGGGGGAAAAGACCTAGAAAACTTCAACTCCCGAGATCCCATCTGGGGGCCAATATGCCAAATACACGTCTCTATAATCTGGCATGCATTTTGCGACATGTCCAAGACTGGCTCAACGACTCCAGTCACTATACAAATACTCCTATTGAACAAAATCTGGTACACCCATGGACGCTCTCGGGAGTTGTCCACACCCCTTTACACGCTCTACCAGGCCACATCAAACAAAACATTCTACTGCGTGACAGCATTGTCACCTGGAGGGAAGTGAGGAAGATATATGGTCTTCAGGGCACAGTCTCTCCACGGTTGCCTATAATTTCTACCCCTCTTTTTCCGGTGGGCTCCACCTCCCGAATATTCTAACAATGGCAAGAGAGAGGAATACACACCTTACAAAACTTTTTAAACCCCCAGGGGACCTACTTTTCCTTTGCAGACCTCACACAAGCATATAACATATCCCCTAATCATTTTCTCCAATATGCCCAGTTGACTCACTTTATGAAATCCCACCTGCCACCATCCAGTGCAAGAGACAAGGGCCCTTCGACATCATTCCTTCATTTGTTCAATTCTCCCTCCACTAAAATGTCTCTGTCCCAGTTGTACAGTACTCTTAGCGCCACCCACCGGGAGTCATCACCTTCGACACCCAGGTTTGCTGTTAACTGGGCTCCTTTATTGCAACTCACACCTGAAGACACACATCAGCTCTTGCTCAGGGGATGGTCGAGTCTACTTAAACATATGACTAACAAACAATGGAGGGAAATACAGTTTAAAATTATTCACAGGGCTTACTATGCATTGAATTTCACCCCCACGTCGGCCAACGCCACCTCGATCACTGATTGTCCCAAGTGCCAATCCCCACGCCCTAACTTGATGCACCTCCTTTGGCAATGCCCATATATACAACCCTTGTGGCAATCAACACTTGATTATATGAACTCACTCTCCAACAGGCCTAGGGATTGTTCCCCAGCAATATGTCTATTCCACTCCCATTTCTGAACAGGGCAAGGTAGAATCTTTAACCCAATGGGAACACTATTGCCTATTGACTGTCAAAAAACACATATTACATAACCGGCTTAATCCTCAACTTCCCATATTGACTGATGTCAAAAACACACTTCACCAACTCATGCTAATCCACAAACTAGATACCAAAAATAACTTATCCAGCACAGGAAAATGTTTCCATACATGGACCCGCTTTTTAACAACCGAATGTACTATTGACCAATTGAAGGATATTATGCTAGCTTTTCAGAACTCACGATGGTACCTTCTAGCATCGTCGGAGGGCTCTCTAGGCAAACTTGATGTTCTCAGATAGTATGCGGTTGGAGACTAATCTCTTGGAAACTGGACCAGCACTCTTTACTATGCACTCTTATAGCTGTGACTTATTCCCCCATATCAGATGCCACTCATACACTTTACATTAAATTATTCGATTATTTTCCCCTCCGTTTTAAGCCCTTTCCGCACCACTCTTGATCCTACCATATCACCAGACACAGACTAGTTGATGACTGTTACAGTCTCAGTCCTCCAGGCAACCACACACTGTTAAACTGTTAACCTGTTAAATTGTTGGTTAGATGTTCTTATAATACATAATAAGACTACAGTGGTAATCAACATGCAAGTTTTGAATGCTTTATAAAACTCTGATTGCTCAACTTTAATACTGCTTCCTTGAAAACGAGATATGCAGCATAATGGTTTCTGACTGTAATCCTCTGATTTATGTCAATTCTAACTGTATTACTGACTATACTAATTATGTGATGACTCTGTTGTAAATGAAGATTACAAAGAGTTGCGCTAGGAGAAAATATTCTAATATTACATTTGTCTTTAAGCTAAAGTAAAAAGTTGTAAAACACAAACAGCTAAGAAAGGACTGAAGAAATCATGGGAGAAGTCTTACTAACATTTTTGACTCAAAATTGCTCATTATTAGGGATGAGCTTTGAGCTAAGAATAAGTTCAACCTAAACCCAGCCTGTTCAGTAAACAGGTGAGCAACTGTGTTCCTTGGTGCTGTCTACATTCTAGAAGGGCCAGGGCAGGTATTTGAGATGGTGGGTTGTCAGGGCATTGCTCATAGTGATTTATGGTGTATCTACTTTCACTGAATGACAATGTTTATTTTTTAAATAAAATACGTTTTTTATGGTGTCTGGGTTTTTTAAATTATTTAAAAACTTTGGGGGGTGATTGTTGCAAAAAAAACCTTGCTACTCAATGTGTACTGTCCCATTTAGAAATTAAAAAAAGCGTGGGGTCCACTTAAAATCTATACCAGACACTTATCCATACATGCAGCCTAACTAGTCATGAAAAGCCAGCTGCTCCCCTCTTCTCATCGATACCGGGCCACAAGCCCACAGCATTAGGAGGGTATCCTAAAAGAATGGAGCATCCCCACATTTTGTCCTTCAAAAGGGATGTGGAGGTCTGCAGGTAGGGGACATATTGGAATCTGCAAGAATAAGGGGGCCCCCAGATAGACAGCCCTTCCCTCTATGTGAAAGAGTACAAGGTAGATAGCATACCTTGTTACTTATCCAAAAAAAATCTTAAATAAAAACACAGGTACTGTAAAAATGTCATAAAAAAAAACAATCAAGCAATGTAATGGAATGTCAGTTACAATGAACAATGACCTGCCACACAATGATTATGCTGCCCCGCTGCACTCCCATCACAGTTCCCTGGCTTCTGTGGTAATGAAAACAGAGCAACCAAGAATCCTAGGATATGTCATTGCCCAAATTTGGTAAATGATGTGACCCAGAAGCAAGCTGAAGGATGTGACTGTCATTTAGGTAGTAGTTTTTTAAAGTCATTTTTGCTGAGTTACATTGTACTGGTGCATAACTTAACAAGCAGGTTTAAGGTATCCCCCAAGCATGTTACTTTGAATGTTTTGTTTTTTTG